CTGACCAGCTGACAGAGATGAGAGGAATGGATGCGCCGCTACACTGGGATGGTCTGGATTTATTCTCCCACACACAGACAGGCAGGGCCCCTGTGCTTAGCAGAGCGTAGCTTAGAGATGAACCAACCAAAGACCCCAGATACCTCAGAGTATGAGTGTGTGGGCTGGCCCCTGCCCTAACCCCCGCAGGCCCCATCTGGATGGGCTAAAAGGTGTTGACAGAGAAAAGAGCCCTGCTGCAGTTCTGATTGAATTCATAGGCTCGCTTTCCTTTCTACGTATTTCTTCTCCTTTACCCTCTCATCTCACATCTGACCTTTTGTTTTTGTTGCTTTTTCTCTTAGACCCGAGCAACAAAAACCAGCATACAAACTGAACGATTGTATGTTGCAGCCCCTCTTTTACTAGCAACTACTCACTTAAACTCAATTACATTCGCCTTTGTGTGTGTGTGTGTGTGTGTGTGCGTGTGTGTGAGGAATAGTTGAAGATCCAGTCAGACCCAGGGTCATACAGCTGATGAGCTGAGGTCAATGTTTTGACAGAGCAGTGAGCAGACCTCAATCCCATCACAATCACAGTGTAATTACTTTGAATTACTGCAGGTTTATCTCTAATTCTACCGCAGTCCATCATTAACGAAAGGCTTCTCTTCGTTTAGATCATCATTACTCTGCGTTCCAGCCGCTTTTACTTTATCAGCCAGCATTATGGCACTACACTTTTCATTAACACCAGAATAGGATCCAAATAAGCCCAGAGGACGCGGCATTCGCTTCCCGTGCTCTGTGAAACCGAGCAGTTGGAGCTCATTTACCTTATCAGCTGCTATTACTTCATTACACTTCTTTGTCAAATTGCTTTTTGTGTAATTGTTATGAGAAGAAACTGGAGACATACCCAGGTGCTAACCTTTTGTTTTTGGGATATGTTGCATACTTTCATTGCTGAATGGATGGAAAAATGAATTAAAACTAATGATTGATTGGATGTTAAAAAGCCATAGATGTTGTCAAATCTTGACTAAATGAAGACCTCATGATTAAATTGTAAAATAAAAACAAAAGATGACTTTGGCGGTAAAAGCTTTCACCAGTGGTGGACTCCGTTTTGCTAATCTGCTAGTAGTGAAGCTGATTTTTTGTTTAGCACTTTAGCAGATTTGCTAGCTTTGAAAAGACTGAGCGCATTTCACTCCCTCTTGATTATTTTTTTTCTGGATAGATTCTAAAAACATTAATTTGCTTGACTGTTTTGTGACTTTCAGCTGAATAAAGTTTGACATCTGTGTTGAAGTTTTGGTTATTGATGGTTAAGAATTGGGCAAAATCAGCAACAGGAATTAACAAACCTCAACAACTCTAAAACTGACCTCTAAAAGTGAAAGGTCTGTTCCACAAAACCACTTCTTGAAGTGCAACCGTACAGGTAGATGTGTAATGACAAACTTGGCTGTGTTGATGGCGATATATTATGTTGGTTAATGACATGGTTGAATTTAGTGCCTTAGCAATAGCTACTGCTAAATACCATGTTGGTATAGCATTTAGTGTTAGCTTCCGCTCAATAACATGTTGGTGTAGAGCTGTAGCCTTAGCTTATGCTAAGTAAGGTGTTGAGTGTGTAGTTTTAGTGTTAGCTTCTGTGGCACATAGTATTTAGCAGAAGCTAAATACTTCAGTGGAATTAATGCCTGTAATTAGTGCTTTAGGGTTAGCACAACTAACTTTTAAGTTGATGGTGTCCACCACTGACTTTCATACATCCAGATCATTGAATTCAGACGTACCAATCACTTCCACGGCACTGTGTGCAAGATCCAGGATGTTAACTCTCAGTAGCTCAGTCTCATTTATGATGTAAATCTGATGTAAAACCCCATCTGTTAGAAAGCTGTCTCAAGACATGACAAAAGCTACATAAAATAATGTTTATTAAACTACCAACAAAAAGGAAATTCCAAATAACTAAAGCTAAGCTGCGTAGTGTGTAAATGAAGTAATGAAGGTGCTGAAGGTGGATGCATTGGATGCACAAAACAAAGAAGAGGAAAGATGAACGGTGGAAAGTGTTAATGTTTCAACACCTCCAGTTTGTCTTGTTTCTCCTCTCCCATCGAGCTTCATTATGCTCACTCTCTGTTGTGTGGAAATGTGTTGCAGACTGGCGTGATGTGGACTTGATGCGTGACATCGAAGCAGCAACAGGAGAAGACCTGGGCTCCAGTCGGGTGAGAGGTAAAAAACGGAAGGGGAAAAAAAAGAAATACCCTAACCTCAGCGATCTAAAGCAGACCAGCAACACGTCGCGCTCCAGACTGGAGAGAAAGGTCTTCAACAAGTATGTCTCTTCAGCTTTGGCTAAGCCTTCACTGAGCTGAGCTAAGTGGTAGCCATGTGGTCCTGTCAGGAAGTTGTAAAACTCTGCCTTTGTTTTCTTGTCCACCTCCCTCTCTAGGAGCACCATGCGCAGAGTGGCTCAGGTGTTAAGTAAAGCCGACAGGAGAAAACACGACAAGTTCTCCAACCAGTTTAACTACGCCCTCAACTGACTGTGTTTCTGTCGCTGTGCTCTATAAACAGCCTCTTTCACAACGATCAGGGACTCTTAAAATCTGCGTAAAGAAACTGAGTCACAGTTTTTAATGTAAGTGTGTGCTTATGTACCTGCATTTCATGACTGAAGGAACATTCACAATATTCATGTTTTTGGAGGGACTCTCACAAGGAAAGTTTCTCGGATAATTTGTGTGTTTGAGCCAGTATAGGGCCATGTAACCCAGTGGAGGTAAAAATAAGCATGATTTCACTGAATCACATTATTAATACAAATATATTTTTAAGCTGCATGAGCTAACATCTCACCAGCAGCTCAGCTTGGTTCTACACTGTGACTGTATGTTTTCTCAATTGAAATATTCACAAACATGTTCCCAAAATCAATATCAATCAAAATTGGAATCTGTAGATCAGACTTTTTAAGATCAGTGATCAGCCAGAAAACTACAGTCGGTGCAGCCTTCGTACAGTACGTGCCCATCTACCTCCACTGATAAACGCCAAGCTAACATTCACACAATTCCTGCAAAAAGGACGTCCTGCTGATAACAAGGACATTTCTGTTAAATATACTGAGTCAAATATTGCATTGTTTGTATGATCCTGTCTTTGTTCTGTACACAGATACCCAGATGTTTACTTTTTTCTACTTTTGCTGAATGATTAATTTATGTATTATGGGGTAATGCATGAGTTAGGTTTAATACTACTGTGTGCATTAAAATCATTTGTACCATAAGGAAATGTCTTGGCTTGTTGTCTTACTGTCTCTGCTTCAAGTAGGGATAAATTAGGATCTAGTACACAACAAGTATGGAAAAAGAAGTAAGACAATGTTAAGCACTGGCATCATAAAAGTAAAGTTTAGTAAAACAGAGAATGGTTTAAAGTAGCTCTTCCCTTGTCACATTCACACTACAAACTACTTAATGATTTTGGTTCCTTTCCTCTCTGCAGCTGTTTAACTGTTCAGAAGTTACAGAATCGAGTTAACATGATTGTGAAGGTGAGGTTCTACCTGCTGTCACATATGATGATACTCACTATGCCATGCAGAGGTCAGGTTGGAATCCTGGTGAGTTAGGAACGTCTTTGCCCACTACAAATCCATATTTTAAAAGTTTTTGTACATATTTTTCCACATTTACCAATAAAAGTAAAGAGCAATCTAACTGGGTTAGTGGTCTTTTTCCCCCAGATTTGATCATTTCCAGTATGAGGTTCCGTTGACGATAACTCCTCCCACTATAGCAGTTTGAACCAAGGAGCCACTCAGCAGCTCAGAGTTGGAGCAACACTTCTATCGCAGATATAAAAGTTGTCATTTTCAGCAATAAAACTTTAGCTGAGTACTTTGTAACAGCGACTGAACTTCATATCTATGGAGTCGGTACATAAAAATCTAGGTTAATGTGATAGAAGCACGCTGTCAGCCAGAATCTTTAGGTAAACATGAAGAAATTTAGAAATCTACTCATAGATAGACTGGACCCACTAACAACCATTTGTGTGTCTTTATTGATCATTAGGCAGCAATAATAAAATACAACTGCTTTTTACAAGAAAAGAGTTGTCTAATGTTTTTCTGTTCCATATAGGTAGTTTATGAAGCTGTCAATGGGAATTCCTTTAACCGAGGAACTTTTTTTAATCTAATTGGTTCATTCATGCTCAGATGGACCTGTAAAGTGTTGATTTTACTTTGGAGAATATTCATCTCTCCCTAACAGTGCAGTCTATTTTTAACTCCAAATTCTTGCTGTGGTTTTTATAGGCTTGGGGTTAGGCCAAGCTCTCCGCATGGTTGTGTGTTCTGTTTGGTTTGGCCTTTGCTTCCAAAGTTTGTATAGATCTTTATTTTTATTTTGAAAACTTTTTAGAATATTCCAATCCCAAATCTGAAGCCATCCCTTATTTTAATATTGTTATTTGTGTCAATGATAAAATAAGGGACTGTTTCAGATTTGGGGGGTTGTCCAGGATGTTGAATGCCATATTAAACAGATTTTGGTTTTAAATGGGAAACAGAACAGCTCAACTTCTGTCTTTATCTACTCTCCTCTTTGGTGAAATATATACACAGAAGTAAAAAGATTTTTCAAGTTAAATTTGGCAGCAAATGGTCAATTACTGTCTTAAGTACATAAAGATGGAACAGAATTTACCCCTTTTTAAAATAGACAGCTTTCTGCCTTACTCTTTTAGAAACTCTTGGTAAGGAATACTCATCTATATGTTTTAAAGCTATTTTTATTTATTCTGCCAAGTGCTTGAGCTCAACAGCCTCATCCTATTTGCGCCCTCTCTCATCTTTAAACAGAAAGGACAATAATGGGGAAAAGAAGTGAGGTTGTGAAATGGAATTATGGTTTCTCCGCAACCCTCTGTAGAAAAAAAAAAACCCAGAAGAAATCCAAAAGCCTCCATCTCTGCACTTAATTATTCATCTTTTTAATATCAAAGGACAGTTCATGTTGGGCTGAGGATTTGGCACATCCAGGGATTTCATAGCAACTGGAACAAATTCAATAAATAAGGGAAATGAAAACGATCACAGCTGGAATTACACAATACTGATGATAGATCAAAGCCATTCCTTACGTCTTAAACATTCAGTATTTGTACAGACGTGAAATTAAACAGAAAGAAAGAACTCAATTCTTGGTCTATCACGCAGGTCCAGATAGCATTCAGAGGAAGCTACAACATAGATTTATGTACAAGTTCTGGTTCATATTCACAATCTATCAAAATAATCCACTGATTTAAAGTCTTCAGGTACTGGTAGTAAAAAGGTTTGCTGCTCTGCAGTTCACTGTGTGGCTTTACAGGTGTGTGCTGTAGAAGGCAGGCGCAGCGTAGCTCTGAGTTCCCAGCATGAACGGAGACAGGACATGGCTGGCGGTGAGGAAAGGCAGCTGCACCAGGCTCCCTGTGGGGGGGTGGTGGTGTCCGGCGTAGCCAGCGTGCATGGCCAGGTGGCCGCTGACCGGAGGAGATGGGCTCAGAGGACTCAGGCTGCCCAGGCCTCCCCCTGTCCCCCCACCTGCGCCCCCTGCTCCTCCGGCTCCCCCCGCCGTGGGGGCCGAGGTATCGGCTCCAGGGTTCTGCTTCTTCCACTTTGTCCGGCGGTTCTGGAACCAGATCTTGACCTGGGTCTCGGTGAGGGACAGGGACAGGGCCAAGTTGAGGCGCTCGCACACCGACAGGTAGCGTGTGGACTTGAATTTATTTTCCAGCGCTACCAGCTGCTCGTAGGTGAAGGCAGTCCGGGCCCTGCGGGGCTTCCCTGACTTGGAGTCCGAGCCGGAGCGTTTCCTCTTGGGCTTGGTGCCCTGCCCTGCGTTGATCTGACCGCTGCTGATCTGAGCCGGGGGCCCTCCACCCGGGCTCTTTGTGTCTCTGCTGGGGTCAGAGTGGCCGTGCTGGCCCAACTCTCTGTCTCCGTTGCTAGGCAGAGCAGAGCTGCTCTCCTCGCTGCTGTAGGTCCCATCTGGACCCTCAGAGTCTGGAGTCCCAGAGCGGTGATAGTCCTCTTCATCTGGACTTCGGTATACAAAACTGTCCTCTGAAAGATGAACACAACAACAACAGTTTAGGTGCAGGAAGCTTGAACCTGTGGTAATGCCAGTCAAACAGTTCTCCTTTAGCCACAAACAGATGTAGCTAACACCTCAGGCAGGAATCCAAGACAAGTCTGCTTGTCTTGGAGGTCTACTGTCCTGCTGGGATGAAATCACATCCAGCAAACTGGATATGAAATCATCAAATACATGTCAATCTGGAATAACTCAGATTAGCCGGATGAAGGGAAGGAAATGAAGCTACTGATTTCTGTTTCTGCCTTTTCTCAACTGTTAACTGAGCCACAATTGTAGCTTTGTGTTTCTCAGAACTAGTCAGGTGCTTCTTGTTGTCCAAACGTCTTGATTATTTGNTTAACTGTTCAGAAGTTACAGAATCGAGTTAACATGATTGTGAAGGTGAGGTTCTACCTGCTGTCACATATGATGATACTCACTATGCCATGCAGAGGTCAGGTTGGAATCCTGGTGAGTTAGGAACGTCTTTGCCCACTACAAATCCATATTTTAAAAGTTTTTGTACATATTTTTCCACATTTACCAATAAAAGTAAAGAGCAATCTAACTGGGTTAGTGGTCTTTTTCCCCCAGATTTGATCATTTCCAGTATGAGGTTCCGTTGACGATAACTCCTCCCACTATAGCAGTTTGAACCAAGGAGCCACTCAGCAGCTCAGAGTTGGAGCAACACTTCTATCGCAGATATAAAAGTTGTCATTTTCAGCAATAAAACTTTAGCTGAGTACTTTGTAACAGCGACTGAACTTCATATCTATGGAGTCGGTACATAAAAATCTAGGTTAATGTGATAGAAGCACGCTGTCAGCCAGAATCTTTAGGTAAACATGAAGAAATTTAGAAATCTACTCATAGATAGACTGGACCCACTAACAACCATTTGTGTGTCTTTATTGATCATTAGGCAGCAATAATAAAATACAACTGCTTTTTACAAGAAAAGAGTTGTCTAATGTTTTTCTGTTCCATATAGGTAGTTTATGAAGCTGTCAATGGGAATTCCTTTAACCGAGGAACTTTTTTTAATCTAATTGGTTCATTCATGCTCAGATGGACCTGTAAAGTGTTGATTTTACTTTGGAGAATATTCATCTCTCCCTAACAGTGCAGTCTATTTTTAACTCCAAATTCTTGCTGTGGTTTTTATAGGCTTGGGGTTAGGCCAAGCTCTCCGCATGGTTGTGTGTTCTGTTTGGTTTGGCCTTTGCTTCCAAAGTTTGTATAGATCTTTATTTTTATTTTGAAAACTTTTTAGAATATTCCAATCCCAAATCTGAAGCCATCCCTTATTTTAATATTGTTATTTGTGTCAATGATAAAATAAGGGACTGTTTCAGATTTGGGGGGTTGTCCAGGATGTTGAATGCCATATTAAACAGATTTTGGTTTTAAATGGGAAACAGAACAGCTCAACTTCTGTCTTTATCTACTCTCCTCTTTGGTGAAATATATACACAGAAGTAAAAAGATTTTTCAAGTTAAATTTGGCAGCAAATGGTCAATTACTGTCTTAAGTACATAAAGATGGAACAGAATTTACCCCTTTTTAAAATAGACAGCTTTCTGCCTTACTCTTTTAGAAACTCTTGGTAAGGAATACTCATCTATATGTTTTAAAGCTATTTTTATTTATTCTGCCAAGTGCTTGAGCTCAACAGCCTCATCCTATTTGCGCCCTCTCTCATCTTTAAACAGAAAGGACAATAATGGGGAAAAGAAGTGAGGTTGTGAAATGGAATTATGGTTTCTCCGCAACCCTCTGTAGAAAAAAAAAAACCCAGAAGAAATCCAAAAGCCTCCATCTCTGCACTTAATTATTCATCTTTTTAATATCAAAGGACAGTTCATGTTGGGCTGAGGATTTGGCACATCCAGGGATTTCATAGCAACTGGAACAAATTCAATAAATAAGGGAAATGAAAACGATCACAGCTGGAATTACACAATACTGATGATAGATCAAAGCCATTCCTTACGTCTTAAACATTCAGTATTTGTACAGACGTGAAATTAAACAGAAAGAAAGAACTCAATTCTTGGTCTATCACGCAGGTCCAGATAGCATTCAGAGGAAGCTACAACATAGATTTATGTACAAGTTCTGGTTCATATTCACAATCTATCAAAATAATCCACTGATTTAAAGTCTTCAGGTACTGGTAGTAAAAAGGTTTGCTGCTCTGCAGTTCACTGTGTGGCTTTACAGGTGTGTGCTGTAGAAGGCAGGCGCAGCGTAGCTCTGAGTTCCCAGCATGAACGGAGACAGGACATGGCTGGCGGTGAGGAAAGGCAGCTGCACCAGGCTCCCTGTGGGGGGGTGGTGGTGTCCGGCGTAGCCAGCGTGCATGGCCAGGTGGCCGCTGACCGGAGGAGATGGGCTCAGAGGACTCAGGCTGCCCAGGCCTCCCCCTGTCCCCCCACCTGCGCCCCCTGCTCCTCCGGCTCCCCCCGCCGTGGGGGCCGAGGTATCGGCTCCAGGGTTCTGCTTCTTCCACTTTGTCCGGCGGTTCTGGAACCAGATCTTGACCTGGGTCTCGGTGAGGGACAGGGACAGGGCCAAGTTGAGGCGCTCGCACACCGACAGGTAGCGTGTGGACTTGAATTTATTTTCCAGCGCTACCAGCTGCTCGTAGGTGAAGGCAGTCCGGGCCCTGCGGGGCTTCCCTGACTTGGAGTCCGAGCCGGAGCGTTTCCTCTTGGGCTTGGTGCCCTGCCCTGCGTTGATCTGACCGCTGCTGATCTGAGCCGGGGGCCCTCCACCCGGGCTCTTTGTGTCTCTGCTGGGGTCAGAGTGGCCGTGCTGGCCCAACTCTCTGTCTCCGTTGCTAGGCAGAGCAGAGCTGCTCTCCTCGCTGCTGTAGGTCCCATCTGGACCCTCAGAGTCTGGAGTCCCAGAGCGGTGATAGTCCTCTTCATCTGGACTTCGGTATACAAAACTGTCCTCTGAAAGATGAACACAACAACAACAGTTTAGGTGCAGGAAGCTTGAACCTGTGGTAATGCCAGTCAAACAGTTCTCCTTTAGCCACAAACAGATGTAGCTAACACCTCAGGCAGGAATCCAAGACAAGTCTGCTTGTCTTGGAGGTCTACTGTCCTGCTGGGATGAAATCACATCCAGCAAACTGGATATGAAATCATCAAATACATGTCAATCTGGAATAACTCAGATTAGCCGGATGAAGGGAAGGAAATGAAGCTACTGATTTCTGTTTCTGCCTTTTCTCAACTGTTAACTGAGCCACAATTGTAGCTTTGTGTTTCTCAGAACTAGTCAGGTGCTTCTTGTTGTCCAAACGTCTTGATTATTTGGCTGAGTGTAGAGATGGAGAGAGATAGACAGATGGATAGACAGACAGATCTCATTTCAGCATTAAAATCTGTATTTAAATGAAGTGAATCACAAAATAAATTTTCTCAAAAATAGAAAATTATATTGGCCAAAAAAAAAAAGATTCTTAATACATAAGTATCTGCCTACTGAAAGTTACGTCCACAGAGCCATTCAATAAATCAGAATATTACTGAAAAACCCATTTATTTCAGGAACTTAATCACAATGTGAAACACATTCTATATATTTATTACATTCATATTATTTCTGTTAATTATGATTATTTTTCACTTAGAGCTAAAATAAACCCTATGACATTTAAAATTAGAATATTACATCAGATCAATATAAAAACTTTTTTTTTCACAGAAATGTGGGCTGGGCTTAATTCAAACTCTGTTTACTGCCTCAGGCAGTGATTTTAATCTGACAAACAGGACTCATTGGAGCACATATTCTAATTTACTGAATATGACTGTATGTACTATACAGTATTTTCCCCCAATAGTTGGTTGAGGTATCTCTAACAGCAGCTGTTGTTTCAACACTTTAGCTCAAACTTGATGACGGAAACCTCCACGATGTCCTAGTTAAAGTTCGCTACGAGCCAGCAGATGGAACCAGAATCAGGGGTTTCTGGCCTAAATGCTGCATGCTGTGTGTGACACACCGCCCCTATGATGAAGCATGCTGGTGGCAGTATGATGCTGTGGGGACATTTTCTCTCCAGCCTGTCAGAGCTGACTGGAACGCGGGTGGAGCCAAATCAGGAAAATCCTGGAGGAGAAGCTGTTAGAGGCTCCAGCTTCCAGCAGGATAATCAGCCTGAACAGCCACACTGGTATTATGGGACGGCTTAGACTAGGCTGTTAGAGTGCCTAGTCAAAGTCATTTACAGGCAATCCCAATAAACTAGACTGAGGTTTGTTGGTTCTAATGTGAAAATATTTAAAGGGGTGTGAGTACTTTTGCCAGGCTCTGTAGTTAAACATCACAGTTCAGATATGATGAACTGATTTATGGCTGCAGATGTTTGTTGCTTCAACTACAGATTAAAATTATTCAATTTATTTAGCAATTTATTTAATAATCATTTACAGCTAGATACAGGTCTGAGTCAGGCTTTGGTTAAAGATGATAAAACAGTGTGAAAAGAGCATCAATTCTGAAAAGTTTTTCATTCACGTTTTTGTAAAAAAAAGAACCCAAAAAACCTGAATGTCAAATTATTACCCTTTTCAATAATCAAAGGAAAAAAAATATTGCCATTAAATCAGTCAAATCTATATCATAATTGCTGCTTTTTGCATGTTTCCAATACTAACTTTGCTATCACCCTAATCAGCTCCCTGCACAGATTATCTGTCAGATCAAAGTCAGGAGTATCTCTGAACCACTAAAATATGAATATTACAGTCAGAAGAAACATGTTAGTCAATATTAAAAGACAACTCTAAACATGAATCAGTCCAGGGTATGAAGAATTATGGGCTTAGTCATTTACTGTATTTATTTATTATTAATTTTCACCTGTCATGAAAAAAAATGGTTAAAGTAGAAATTAGAATATGTCCCAATGAGTCTCATTTGTCAGATTAAAAAATATCCAATGATATTTGGATAATTTTTGTTTGATCCTAGTTATGCCCAGCAAATATAGAATTGAAGTAAAACATAAACAGAAATAAAACGGGGCTTTCAGGTTTGCTGGAGGCTCTGGCCTCCAGGAGTTAGCTTCTGTTCATTTATCTATTATATATTGCAATATATAACAGAAATATAGAAAATGTGATGGAAATTTCAACTGCAGCAACTTAAAAAATTAAACCGACATTTAAAGAAAATTAATTAAAAGGCAATAAAAGCTGCAGTAACCAGGTCTGACTGGCAGCAGGCCTGATCAGACTGGCAGTAAAATCACAACACAAATATAAATGAAAATGTTTTCAATATTCAAAAAAATATATATATATATATATATTTTGACTGAATTTCTTCTAAGTAATGGAAAAATGCTTTGAAAGCTGAGAAAGAAAACAGACTTACAGACTCTGAAAAACATTTTCAGATAGGACTATTTTTATTATTTTTTTTATTTATATGCACAGATTTTAATGAGTTATACTATAAAATAATACTTAAATTTAGAGTAACCAATTCAGATATTTTGAGCACGTGACAATGAATGAATAGAAATGCTGTTTAGTTTAAAACATCTCCGTGCTCTAATTAGCTAATGTTTAATCAATAAAAACAACAGAGGTTATATGAATATTTTTTTATTACGGGGTTTAATTATTATATAATAGTTAAAATGTTAGCTTTAGTTTTTTTTTAACTGGAATCTGATTTATATATAAAAAAATATTTATTTATTTAATTGATTGATTTACTCAATCTCCAAAACTCTGCAACTCTTATTAAAACATATATGTAGCATCTATAACATCTAGAGTAATTATCATCGAATTATCGATTGAATTTTTCTGGAACAGTTCAGATTAGATGAGAGACATTCGCTATTTATTTAATAAAATATCTCGTGAATTTTTTTTAATTTAATCTCATCTAAATATAAATCAATAATATTATCATTATCATAATTATAATCATTATGTTCGTCTTGTTGGAAAACGTTTTTATTTATTTTGCCAGGTTTAAGATCGCTGGGTTTCATTGGTGTGTCTGATTTGTCTAAGTGATTGTAAGACGCAGCAACACGTCTGTTAACGCGAAAATGATTTTAAAAAAAGGAAAATACATGTTCATGTTAAAAAGAAAAAATAAAAGAATGCGATCTGATTGCAGTTTAGGTGAGTTCTATTAGTTCCTTCAGTCTGCTGCTGGAAACAGATATTCACCAATTAATAACACACACCTCCGATTAGATCTAAACACACACACACACGCACACACACACACACACACACACACACTGCAGCCTGTCAACTTTATTTTCTCTAAACTGAGCTCTAAATAGAAGCCAAATTGATTTTTCCCCCCTTTTCAGTCCTATCTGAAAACGAATTATTAAGTCTTCAACTAGAAACACGCTCTATTTTCATTCCTGATGGATTTGAGTGCATGTTCCAGCTTTAAAATCTATTTATTTCTCAGTGATTAGACGGATCCCAGCACAGGCAGCGGACACGTCCTGAAACAATGATTCAGCTGTCGGCTGGGATTCACAATTCTGTCCTATCAGTTGGAAAGTCCTGCTTTATTTTTCTGTTGAAGTTTAGCCGTGTGAACGGGAAACTTAATAACAGTCTACTTCCCCAACATGGCTGTAGTAGTGGTTAAAAATGCATATAATAATAAATAAGCATTTTATAAAGCGACCCAACAGTAAAATATTTATCACACCTTAAATAGTAAATATCAATAAAAACGAATCAGCACTCTAATTAAAAATAGTTTAGTAAAACCCTCCATAGTTTGCCTTAAAATATATCCCCCAGAAACAAAAAAACAAAACAAAACAAAAAACGAAGCAACCACTAATATAGCTGAGAATGAATCCCACTCACTGCTCTGGTATTCCTCTGCGACGTAGCAACTCTTGCTGGGCTCCAGGCTACTGAGCTCGCGCTCCCCTGGCCCTGCTCTCCGGTTCTCCGCATCGTAAGCGATCAGCTCGCGCTCCCCGTGGTGGCTCACGTGCTGCGACGGCGACGTGTGTCGCCGGTTGCTCGTGAACTTGTTGGGGTCCAAGATGTCCAGGACGGAGAAGGAGGTGGTACGGTGGCCGGGGCCCTAGCGAAGAAGAAAAGTCTGAGTTAGCAGGTAGTTTTTCTTTCCACTTCTTTTCTTTCTTTTCCTGTTCTTTTCTTTTCTTATGTTTTCTTTTAGTTTCTTTTATTTACGTGAGTTTTCGTTGGGGTTTTATTTATCTTCTGACATTTAAATAAAATCAAACATTCATTTAATTGTATTTCCTTCTTAATAAATAATAATAATTTACAACAGCCTAAATTCTTGGATCTTGTCTCATTGGGCGCCCAAAGGAAAAAACAAAACAAAAAAACAAATCAATCCAATTTTATGACCCTCTGCATGTCTGGAGTGGTACAAAATGGAGTGGGCCATAAAGGCAAAACGTTATTCTTAATCTTATGGCTGAAATAGGAGCTGAATGTTTGGATAATGTTTACAGTATTCGTCCATTCTCCTTTCGCTGTGACCCTGATTGTGCGCAGCGTGTTTACTGTTGATTTGCACATCCTGATTTATGTGGAGCTCAGAAGGTGTCCGTGCATGTAAGCTGCTGAGCTGATAAGAGTCCCAACCACGGCTACAGATAAGGATCGTTCATTTATTAATGAGGCCAGCCTGGAGCATGTCCACAGCAATAATCCCACATTAATACCATCAACATTCTCAGTTGAAATAATATGAGCGAGTGGGAAAAGAGTCATTGACATTACATGAAAAGATTATTGCAGCATGATCACAACAGGGATTAAACAGAATGATCTACTATTTATGAGTTTATGACAAACCTGGACGTAATGTAGCCGATAAAGAGCAAATGAAGAGGAAAAATGTGGTTTAAGAAAGACGTTAACATTTTTAGATTTTTTTTGTTCACATTTATGAAAACTTCCGAGCAAAAATACCAATATTTTTTATTTTGTCTCGATTAGTGTGAGCAAATTTTTGTTATGCCAAAAAATAAAACAAAAATAATTCAGATATCTTGTAAATTTTCACAGTTTTCTGTTAGTTTGGCAATTTAAATCAATTTCACTTAAATTTATTGTGTGTGCGCGCGCTTTGGTTGTTTTGCAGTTGCTGTCATGTTGATTGGCAACTTTTTAAAAAAGCACAGTGAAAGCAACCATACCCAAACTATAAGACATTTTTAACATGATCGAAAACAAAACAGACATGAATGCATGTAAATAATTTAAGAACATTATCACGTTTTCCGGATGGGAAAAAGCTACCTCACCCCACTCCCCCACCCTTTTTTTTATTTCACTTTTCTGGCGGTGCATAATAAATAATAATAATAATAATAATAATAATAATAATAATAATAATAATAATAATAATAATAATAACAATAAAAAGTTGCAATGGAATTAACTCTCTCCTCAGAGACCCTCCATAAAGTTTGGCCCCCGCCTCTCACCTGTTGTGGCGGAGCTAACACCGGCGGGGGCTCCGTGTGGTTCTCTACGGCCTGAGGATCTCTGCTTGCGGCCACTGAGAAGAGCCGCTTGTCCGCGGCGGCGCCTGCGTCCAACATCTCCCTGCTCTCAGGGCCCACCATCGTCTGAACCCCGTCCCCGCTCCCCGGTCTGTCCCGACTCATTGCGGGCTGGAGTGTGTCCACCACTGGCCCTCCTGCTGCGGCTCTGTCCCGTCCCATCACCGCCTGGATCCCGTCCGATCCAGGCCCGGATGCCGCGCCTCTGTCTCGGTTCATCACTTTACTCCCTCCTTCCCATAGACTTTATGGAATTTAGGAATCCGGAATTAAATGCGAAGAAGAGGAACAAGAGAAAAAGATAATAAATAAATAAATAAATAAATAAATAAATAAATAAATAAATAAATAAATAAATAAATAAATAAATTGAGCCCAGTTGGATTTAAAACGGTTATATGATATTCATTTCAGAGGATAAACGTCACACGAAAGGCCAGCTCATGAGTCCTGTTCACGTCCAGCCTGAGGTGGAGTTCTCTGCTTTTGGAGGTTTTCCATGGAAAGTCCGGGAGTGTGGACAGGTGAGAAGCTTTAAGCCTGACTGGAGGCTACTTTTTGTCCGCTCAAACTTTAAACTTCTTCTCTCTGCCTGTTTGTCTCCGGCTCTTTCGGCTGCATCCTTCTCCGCTTCAGCAGAACTTCTCCAGAGTCACAGCGCGTGGCAGTTAGCCCGCGATGACACGCACGCATACGCAGAGCACAGAGTTTGACCTCTGTGCGGTGACCGCAGGGCAGTAGCTGGAGGCGGGACGGACGCTGATGTATCTCTGCGCGAGCAGCTCGAACCAGCTCGCGTTCTCTCCCGCTCCTTCAGTTTTGAGTAGCTCCCTCTCTCCTCCCCGTCGCCTCTTGTTTCTCGCGCTCTCTCTCCCCCGTTCGAGCTTTCAACACCCTCTTTGGCTTACAGCCGGCCCCTAGAGGACCCTCTATCACACACATATACTGATACTGTGTGTGCGCCGGTCTCTCTCCTTATTTATGCATTCCCTTTCAACTCACGCCTTGTAATTGGCTACAAATTAATCCCACTTGCGCTAATAGGCTATTATCTGGCTGGTGCGCGCGTGGGGCGGTGAGGCCCGGGACATTTCTCTGTCCTGGCAGGAGAGAAGCAAGGAGCAGGAAGCACGCGCCAGCTCAACGTTTCGGATTTAATTTTTTTTTACACATAGCTAATCCCACACAGTTAGTAGCTGCTCCGCAATTGAATTCATACTTTACTGACGGGTGTAAATACAAATTAGCTCTAGTAGGAGCGAGTGCTTCCTATAGTTAGGCCAGGTCAGCAACAGTCAGTTCTAACTTATGAGCGCGTATTTATTAGTTAGTTACAGTGTAGTAAGGCTAATATGTTGCAAGGTTGAGGGATTTGAAGCTGAGGTGTAATGGCCTCCATGAACGGCAGCCCTTATCTCTAATGCAGATTCCAGGGCAGGGCCTCTCCTCAAAACTCAATTACGGCCTGAATAAAGACGGTAATGTCCCTGCTGCAGTGAAATATTGATTCCTAATCCTTGGCAGTCATTACTATGCCAGAAAATAATAGACCACAGAATTGGATTTTGATTTAACACGCGACGTGTTTATTCTAATGCCGGGGACTTAATATTCCGTTGACTCATTTTCAACCACAGAGGAGGAGAAGGGGCGGCGGTGCTGGGAGAGGGGTAGTAATGGTGTCTCCGACGCCCGCACTTTTTTTTATATTGTTGTGAGAGACAATTAAAAAAAAAGAAAGAAAGAAGGATGTGATGGGACATCTTCCCTGTCCTCCTCTCCTGCTTTAATACACAAGGTCAACTCCATGTAATTGCCTTGCTCAATGATCCTTAAGAGGGAAAAATTAAAAGTTGAGGAAAATAATGGCCGAAACAATGAGACATGATTAGCCAATCACAGTGCCCCACCTCTTTGATCTACCTCCTGCTTCCACAACAGTCTTTATGTCTATATTAAGTGCATTAAATATCCCAGCACCTTACTCACCTTGGGAAATATTTGCATTTTAAGTGGAAGGGAACTATAAAGCACTGTCATCACACGCTGTTACAACGGGACTGGAGAGAAGTGGTAGGGCAAACCAGAGAAGCCGGATTATTAAACGGCACTTCTAGCAGTTTATCTGCAGATGAGGCTTTTTGGGGGCACAAATAAATCTGACATTTGCCATGCCTAATTAAATGTAATGCCTGTGTTCTTTAGAGAAAGTGGACATTTTAGCACCACCTCTGTGGGGACCTGCATTCGTTGCTTTTGTCTGAATTTACTTGAATTTGTAAGTCTGAACAAAATGCAGACAACAGCAGCACCTATGACAGGTCGTAAATAAGATGAGTAAAAGCAATGCTCATTGGGGGAGAATTAAATAAAGTCAAGCAGTGATATTAAAGA